CATCCGAACTTTTTGTACTCGTTAGCAAACCACTCCAGAAGGGATGTTTTGTCCTGAACTTCTAACTCAGCATTGGTTGATGTGTCGCGGAAATTGCTCTGATCAGCTTCTTGCTCTTTGTTCAGATGTTTTATTGCAGTTTCTCCAGTAGCACTGTTCTTAAGCACATATCTGTTGACATCAAGGTTTTCCCACACTATCAATGTCTCAACAGCACCCATTTCAAGAGTCTTAAGGGTGTCATCAACGCCAAAAACGTACTTCCCGGTATCTTGACTAATCTCTTCAAAGTACTTCCCAATCAACTTTTTCTCCTGTATGAACTTCACATTCGCTAGAATTTCAGCTGATAACTCAATGGCTTGGTTGAAACCATTTTCACCACCATAGGAAACATCAACAACATTAAGTATCTTGGCTTGAAGACGCTGATCAAACATGTCAGATTGACTCAGTTCTGTCTTAAAATCAGCAGAACCAGCCAAAATTAGTCCAGAAACATTAGGCTGACTGGTAGCTGGATTGATGAAGAACTGAGTAGCAAGTTCAGCCGTCTTTCGGACATAGTTATGACGCTTTTCCATCCGAAGCCGAGCAAAACGCAGAGCAGATTGCCCTCCTCTTCCATGTTTCTTTGGGAGATCTACAGTGAATTTGTGAAGGATCTCACGAGTATTGCCACTCAGTGTGCCGAAAAGAGTTCCATTACCATCCATAACAATAAAGCCAAACTTGTCATCGGATTCCAAGAGCTCATTCAAAGCTTCGGTGTGGAATTTGTTGTCACAGAGATACAACGATGCATTGATGGGCTTGAATGGTTCAAAATCAATAGTGACTTTCTTTTCCTTGCCATCTTCAGTAACAATTGTTCCTGTGTAGAGGACGAGTCCATTTGGCGGAACCTTGTTGTACAGCTTCAGCCTCTGTTGAGCTGATGTGATGGCTGCCAAAACAGATTGTCGATTGACTCTACTCTTGATGTTTGAAGCAGTACCATATTCATCACCCAGCATCTTGGTCACACGGGAGACTTGATCACGTGGGGGCATAATCAGAGAGATCATGCTTGTGCCATTGCCTCTAGCAGACTCCAGTGCCTTGATCAACTTCTTAATCTTCCAAATCTCAATATTCTTGTCAGTTTCTTGACCATCTGACATCTTGACAAAATTAGGATGCTTGATTCACCTGCAGAATACCAAATTCAAATATTAGTAACAAACCCGAGAGACAGAATTCAGAGCTGTCAAATACAAGGAAATAACAAAAAAAAAAGGTTGATGAATTTTTTTTAGACTAGAATACACTATCTAGTGTCTAGTAAACTGATCGTAGCTGCTCCCTTACAAAACAAGAGTGCTCTATCCAACGTCATCCAAGACAAAGCTATTAGCTTATGAAAGTTGCCACGCAATAATTCTTAACACTACAAGCGTTAAATCCAATCTGCAATTTGTATCAATTTTTGTGTATAATATAAATGTAGTTTGTATTTAAGTGGACATAAGCCACGGCAACAAGCCATGGACAATCATACATGACTACATGACTGGCCTATAAGGCCATAACATGTGCTGCTTCTTCACAAGTGAAGCATTTACGACATGGTGGTTAGAGCAACCATAAATCCATAGGAATGGTCGCCAATGACTTGTGCTCACAAGAAATAAGAGGAAAACCAGTTCCTTAAATAAAGAATAGGAAAAATTTAAAATCAGAACTATCCATACTAACTGAGTTACTAGGTTTAACACAAAGAAAATAAACAATCATATCAAAATGTGGTCTGCAGCAATCATTTACTTCTAGCTGAAATAGAACAGAAAAATCATTGGTGGTAGTCTCTATATTTATACCAACATATAATACAGAAACAAAACTCTCTCCATACTTGGATGGCCATTTTGGAACATAGGAGTAAGTCATAAACAATCATTTCTAGGTCAATTGCATAGTATGGTAAACACAAAACCAAGAGTTCTGGGTAGACAGAACCAGAACAAGGCTGAGGGTCATCCAAATAGGTTTAGCGACTCAAACCACAATTTTGTCAGGTCACGTCCTGTGTCCCTTACTCAGTTCCTAGTGATCATGAGTTGTTTGGTCATTTCATATTCCGTACCAAAATGGGCCTTTCTAGTTCTAGTTTGCAAGCAACATGGATTAGATTTTTGGCTGGTAAAGAATTACTCATCAAAGTTAAACCTAGCACATCAAGCTATTATCAAAGAATTGGAACTTTAGTCAACCAATTTAGCTTGAAAAGGACAGTAAGGACACCATCCAAAATGGTTAGTGCTGATGATGCTAATTGGACATTTGGGACAATTACAAATCAGTGGCGGATCTAACATGGGACATGGGGTTTCAGTTAAACCCCCAAACTTCTTGCGAACCATCAAGCTGTTATTAGTACTAAGGTTGAGTTAAATTTCTAGAACAGAAGCTAGGGTTAACGCAAATTCGAGAAAAAGTGCGTGGGTAGAGAGAGAGAGATGGGAAAGAGGACGTGCGTAACGGATGCGGCGGAAGCAGCAGGAGGAACGACGGCGACCCTATGCGCTCGCTCGCGCGATGGATGGGGATCGACGCAGGCGGCGGTGGCGGAGGATGTGCTCACCAGGATGGATGCGGCGGAAGCAGCAGGACGAACGATTGCGGCCTTCTTCGCTCGCGGGATGGATGGGGATCGGCGGAGGCACAGGGGGCGGGGGCGGGGGCGGGGGCGGCGGTGGGCAAGGGCAAACTGACGAGGGGTCAGGGTAACTCACGCACGACAGAAGAGTCAAAATGGCGAGGGTAACTTAGTAATTTCTCGCATCAATTCACCCGGATTGCACACCCATCCCATCTCCAACCTAGCTAGACGGTCGAAATCTGAAAAATGAAAATAATATCCATTCGTCCTAATCTCATTTTTCAGATGGAGTCTCTAGTTTAACCCTTGAGACGGTAGATTTTTTTTAATAGAATAAGATTGAGATGGTGGATAAATAATAAATATGTTTGGACATTGTCCAATTAGGCATGGCTCACCGAATGAGTCGTGTTGTGTCGATCCACGTGGTAAGGCTGGAGCCTAGGCATGGTCTAGTGAGATGTCGGGTTATGTTGTGTTGGCCTGGCACAATTAGGGTACATGTGTTATGTGGAGACCGCTTAGCCCAAATTTGATATATACCGAGAAAAAGAATACGAACAGAGGCTATTACATCCTACTGCACAAACTCCGATGAAGCTCTAGTGAGGTCCTCCGCTCACCGATAGCATATTCCTCTTCCTCCTCATCAAGCACTGTCGTGGCCCTTCACTTTCTACTTCCTTCACACCGAGCTAGTGAACGCCTAATGACCAACATGCTTAGCGGTTGTGCTCACAAATGTGGTTGGCCACGCCACCACATTGTCATGTAGGCTTACATCGATGAGCGTCTACCACTGCTTCCTCTGCCTCGAGCCCCTAGCTTCTTCTATTCTTACATTCTCCTTTCTTCCTAGCTCCTGCTCGGATGGCATTATGGTAGTTTCTCAATTGGCGGTTGTTCGCCAGTCGTCGGTCATCATCGTGCCGCATGGACCATGCCATGTCGTGCTATTCCTGGGCCATGTCGTGCTGTCTCACTACATGCATTTGTCATGTAGGCATGTCGAGCCAGATAGCAATCCAAGCATGGTGTGGCTAGACGGGTCGTGCCAACGCAACCCATACCCAAACAGATCGTGCGATTCCTGGACTGTAAACGGCACATGCGTGCCTGGGCGGATAAGAAAAGACCTAGCCCATTTGACAACCTATAGGAGGATTTAGCAAACTCATAGTCGTTCCTCTGTTTCTTCGGATGAAATCAAGTAAGACAACTCAGACACTCCAAAATAATTTGATTAGTGTTAAATTAAAGGGAACTTTAAATTTTTAAAAAGATATTCCCTTCCATGATAGCGATTACACTCCAACCAACACTAAACTTACATGAGGTTGGATCAAATCGAACCGAGCTGCAAGGGAGCGGAGACGGAGCGGGAGCGGGAGCGGGAGACGGAGCAAGGGTTTTACCTAGAGGTAGGGTGTGCGAGGGAAGATAACTATCTAGGCAGGTAGACGGCTCTCGTCTGACGTTCCCCTTCGGCTACCTCTAGGGCTGCAAAGAGAGCCATATTCTTCCACTACTACACTGCAAGTGGAATAATACCAATAATAACGGGACAAAAGGAAGTGGAATGGACTAGTGTCTAGTGGTGGCAATGGTTAGATACTTTTCGATTGCAGAAATTTTACAGCTTTAAATCTAATTTCTCTAAAATTCTTCGTTCCAAAATAAGTGATAACCCAAAGATGGATCTCCAGTATCCATAACAGCCGAAAGATATGAGACCAGAAGCAAACATAAGTATCCACTTCACAAGTCAGATTGTCACAACTTCTGCTACATACTCTATGTGTCTAAAAAAACAATTTAGGCTAGGCAAGAATGAGACATAGCATAGCATAATGAATCTGGACATGATATTATTCAGATTTGTTGTATTAGGTATATCCTTTCATTGTCTAGGTTTTTTTTTTTATCGGAGGGAGTACTTTGTTCGCCGACCTGCGAACTTGGGTTCTATCACAGCCACAAATCCAACATATGCCGGTGGAGAATGGAGGCTGACTAGCCCCGTGCAAAAGTGCATTGCGTAGTCAACGTGGATTTGTGGATCGCAATCGTTCCTTTCCAGCGACAAAACAGCACAATTTTTGAGCTCACATCGCACCCGTCCACAATTTTTGAGCTCACGTCGCAATCGTTCCTTTCCAGCGACAAAAACAGCACAATACTGGATTCGGGTCAACGTGGTAACGAAAGATACATTGATCATAGGCCATAGCGGCGGTTCATTGATAATAGCGGTAGCTTATCGGAAGGTAGGAATTTTACAGCAATCGGTGAAATTATCGTCGAGATGAGATATTCAGATACACCCATGGTGCTTGCTGTAGTACAGAGACGGAAAATGGAACAAAATATCCAGAAACGGAAACAAAACTGCAATACAAATTAGCATCTATAAAATGCTTTACATCGTCTATGGTCTGCTAAACATTTTCAATATGCTGGGTTAATAAGCAATATATATCTAACGCAACTACCAAATTGATCCCAAGTACTGGTCAAACATTTGACCCTATCCCTGCACTTTTCTCTACTTCATCTCCAGGTGTCTGGCCAATACACATTCAGTTCCAACTAGCAAAATATACCAAGGTGAATGCAGGACTATTCACCAGAGCTTCTAATATGGCTATAGTTTATCATCCTAATACCTCTTTCAGACTCCCCAGGAGGAAAGCTGGTTAATCTGGGGCAAAGTTTGCTCCCTCAACTAACTCAAAACTTCAGAAAATGATGGTCATCTGCTATTGAAGCTGCCAGTTTGTGTCCGGGTAACATAGGAGAGGCGTGAAGAAGGAATCAAAGGGGCTTCTTCATCAACCCCTGCACCTTCTGACGCCAGACTTCCAACAGTGGTTTCATCATTAGAATCCATGAAATTGTCAGGCTTGTATATGTTTGAAATCTTCTTATCCTGCAAAAAGTTGAACATTTCAACAGTTATGTGACTTGTAAGTACAAGAAAAATGAGCAATCATTTGGTTTTGCCTATTATCAAAGTTACGCCAAGTAAAGTATTAAACAAAATTGGAAGCTCCAATACTATATTTACGTGGTATCTGATTTGTTGACACGGGAGAACCAAACTTCATGGAGTAATAAAATGTTGTGGTTAGGTGGACAACGCAACAGCCACCCATATGATACAAATTGGAACTGCAATTGCTATAGTAGTGGAAGCTATGGTACTAAAAGGTAACCATTTTTAGACAATAACTTGGTGTTGTGTGACAACAACGCAATGCGTAATAGCAGTTTTTTTTATGCAACCGATAACAAGGGCAGAGACAAGCAAAGAACAAGATAAGAAAGTCATAACTGGAACAATATTGTACTATAAAGTAGTGATACATCATACATGAAAGATCTCTATGGATGAACATGTTCAAGAGGAAGACCACAAAGAATCAAGATATCTAAATAAAGTAAGTGCAGAGAAAGTCGTACTCTGACCTTCGTAGCTCTGTCAGGAGCGATATCAGCTGGAAGTTGGTTCGCTCTGACATCTTTCATCTTCAAATAATTGTACATGACAACGCCAGAGAGAGCTACACATTAAAGCAATACTAATTAAGAAGGTTAATCACAAACAACATATTTGAAATAAAAGTATAAGCAAATTTCACAAGCCCCGGATTTATGTCCCTTTGTAACTCAAAAGAACATGTTAGTATGTTACACATGTTAACATAACCCCATGTTTATGCTATGCAATGGAACACAAAACCACAGGTTAAGATTATAGATATAGATTCTACTTCTAGAGAAAATTGAATGGATAATTACCAACAGCATATCCAATTATATTGAGGCTTGTAATAATAGATTCAGGAAAGATAATGGTTGAGAGGGCAATGAGTATCCAGTCCTTCAGAACTCCTGCGACTCGGATGGTGACTGCTCCTGTTCTTCCAATAACTAGAAAGATGGATATGTTCAATGCAAATGCAGCAACTGCATTAAAGAAAAATATCCAGTAGTTGAACTGAATTTGAGAAACATCCATTTCTGGCTTTTCAAGTAAAAACCAAGGAACAAACAGGAAGATGAAACTGCAAAACAGAAGAATACATATAAGAAATTGCAGAGAGTAAAATGGCACAAACATTTTAGTGACATATAGAATATGCAAAGCTTAGTTGTATGGAGACAAAAACAGTGCATAATAATCACAGAGGCTACAGAAGAAAAACCAGTGAGTGCAAAAGTTGAGGCAGCAAATGGTTGTTCCTAAGTCCTAACAAACTACTTTCTGCTTCTCAACAAGAAACCACACATATAAGTCTTACAGACAGATGCCATAAACCTCTCGAATGCTCTTGTTGCCTAATACATGCAATCTAATACGACGAATATACATTTCAAATCTGTTCTTTTATTTATTCATTCAAACAACTGAGGTTAGAAACTACTACAAATGAAGAACAGTGTTCTCTTCATAAATGTCATAGGAAAACCAATTGTGTTATAAGTTTTAGTGATTTTTATTTACATGTGTACATTACAACAGCACTTGCACAATAAAGTAGCACTAGCACCATTTGGTTGTACATATTATATAAATCCAAGTCATTAATATCACTAATGGAACCTCAAGAAAATGGCAGTTTACATGTTTTTTATAAGAGCAAACTAAAAAATTCTCTTTGTTTTTCGTACAAGTATTCTGTAAGACTTTAAGAGAGAAGTCGTTATTTCATTCAACGGTAGTTGGTTGAAATCATATCAAGCAAGCAAACTTTTCAGATATAGTTGCAATACCTGCAAGGGGCTATATAATATAGGCTTGTGATAGGGTTTAGAGTTAACCCCTTCTTTTGAAGGAGGACCTGTGTCAGAACCAGCCTGAGGGCTTCCGCAAAAATGCCTGTTACTTGGTATAATGTTCCTATGATATTAAAATGAATCTCGCCATATGATGAAACTACGACACCAACACTGACCAAGACCATGTTCAAGAAAAGATCCCATCTTAATTTGTCAGTACCACATAGAACAGCCATTATAAATGTTGCCACAGGCACTGCATTACAAAGTAACACAAATCAGTACCAGAAATGATAAATTGATTTACAGGGAGTTTCATGGTAACTCACTCAAGGCCTTGAGCATCTGAATGAAGGCGACTGAAATATACAAGTATGCTGTGTTTCCAAACCTGTAAAAATAATCAAATCAATTAAAGTATTGTTAGAATTTTATGCAAGGGAAACTCATTCTTCATACACATGATTCAAGATAACTTTACAGGAGAAGTAGCAAATTTCCAAATATTCATATACAGTAAATGCTGTATGGGGGTTAATAAAGGAAACTAATAGTATAGTTCACATACTGAGATAAGATACTACTGTCCGGTATTAACAAAAATAGAGTTTGCATACTGTGCCCCATTTGCAAAAATAACCAAAGTATTAGAACACATTATACACATACAGAGCATGCATTTGTTAATTCACATCGCAATTACACATAATACACAAACCATTCTATTCAAGTTATGGTATACATGGCAAATAGTACACACAGAACAGCTAGGTTTGAAAACAATCTCAATAGCAAAAACTTTATCAATTCAAAGCAATCAATCAGGTCATCATAAAATATCAAAACTGCAAGTATCATGCCATTTGTGTAATGTTGATAGTCAGCTTTAGATCAATGCATTTAACATTTTAGGCCTACATATATCACATACATGAGTGCATATGCTTTCAAAGCCATGCTTTCTCATACAGGAGATAATAAAGAAGTGATCGAGGAAAAAAATGAAATGAAAGATGGTTCCATATCTTGTCTATGTTTAGCTTACCAAAGACTTGACGCGAAGAAGGCACTAATTGGAATCACACATGTGGCATATCTGCATTAAGTGAAAGAAATGACTAAGAATCAAATTCCACACAGTGAATGACAAAGTTAAGTGCTCTTACATTTGGAATGTCATCTTGACTGGTGCAACGACCTGCATCACCAACATAGCAAGATGACTCCATTAGCTCTTACAGGAAAAACCAAATGACAGCACCAGACAAACTACAAACTTAAAGCTTCAATACAGAAACTACCTTGCCTATTCTTGCATAAGAACAGTTTCTATTCGACAATCAACACTTTGTATGCCATTTGGTTGAAAGTTACAACAAGCAAGTAATCCAGTGTGCATCGAACATGGAAGGAGGTAATAGGAAAATTGGCACAAAGAAGCATACCTTAAACACACGGACAAGGAAGAACGTTACGACTCCAGAAAACGCCATGTGAATCATTGTAAGGGTAATAGGAAAGGGAAATTTGAAGTACTTTGGAGAAAGTACCCACTGCAAAAATAGGAAAAATGAGAGCATTAAGTTCATAGTCAGCGTGGCCTCTCATAATTAAACATCTACTTACATCCAAGCAAGCATATAGCACCGCAAAAAAAATAATATGCAAAGCCCCAGATCTGCATTATCAGCATCCATCACCGACATTCGTCAAATCCGTTACGCTTTGAGCCCACATTATACTACAGATGACAGTGTGCTGTACCAAGAACCCTGATTCACCTAACAACCCTAAAATCCTACAGAAAGCAAAGCATTGTAATAGACCGTCCACCAAACTAACGGATATAGCAATTAAAGTAGCACTCACTCATATTGCAGTTCTCCAAACCACATTAGAAGTGAAGTCGTTCAAGGAGCAAACACTACACAAAAGACACTGCGAACAAAATGGACCTCAGATCATCGCATTCCTCGATTTCTTCTCTAGCCCAGAGCAAACGCAAAAAAGCAAAAGCATACACGCAGGTAGAGCGAATCGCAACCGGCATTTCGAAGGAGGAGAAGCCCTACCTTGTTGAACAGGATGACTCCCGACGAGAGGCAGACGTAGATTAGCAGGTAGAGGTAGGTCAGCACGAGCTGCCTGCTGATCATCATCGCCCCCGCCTCCGGCGCCCGGTTCACCTCGCGTTCCTCCTGGGGTTCGGTTCACTCCCGGGGCCAGGCGGCTTCGGCGGCCGCGGCGGAGGGCCGGTGCGGCGGCGAGTCGGCGCGGCGGTGGGGGAGGAGTGGAGTGGGCGCGCGAACCATAGATCTGGGACGCGTGCGGCGCCTCTCTCGGATTGGAAGATTGGGGGAGGAAGGAAGGAAGGGATCGAGAGGGGGAGGGGGTCAGGGGGAGGACTGAAATGAGATGGTGGGAGACCTGGCAGGGTCTTTTCTGCAAAAAGTGGGATTAATTAGCGCAGTGCTGTTTCGGGCCCACATGTCTGTCACTGATCCACGCGTTTCTAATTTATTGTTTTCTGCTTGACTATGCGGTGGTTAGGATTTAGGGGGATAATTGTCGTGGTTTGCAGGCCTAAAAAATTGCGTACGGGTTTGGAATTATTTTTGTTTTGTTTTGTTTTGCTCCCTACCTTTTGCAGCGTGCGATGATAACACTGGATGGAGTAAAATTTCATAGGTTAGAGTGAATTTCACGTTGAACTCTATGTATTTTGTTACCATAAGTCTCAAAATATGAACCGTTTAACTCATATTTTCAATTTAGGCCCTCCTTTTTTTCACTTTGATTTTTTTTTCTCAACATTGTTTTCATCTAGTAGACGATGATGATTTTGGCATGGCGGTGGAAACAAGAGAAGAAATGTATCCAATTTGAAACTAAAAGGTAAGAAAATTAGATCCATTGTAAAAAAAATGGAATAAAGGGAATCCAAGGTTTCTTTTAACTAAAGAAGGTCGAAGGTGAAATCTACTCTAATTTAAATATGCGTGTATAAGACTATCATGACGAAACTATATAATACTCCCTCCATGCACAAAAGTTACACATATTACTATTGTCACAAAGACCAAGGAGAAATTAAATTACCTTTGATGTTATAAAATCAAAGAGTGAATGCAAGCATGTAATCAATGAGTATTTAGATGACTCCTTGGATTCTAATAAAACATTTAATTTATCTCTTCATCTAAGTCTTGAATGCATAGAGACTACAAATAGGAATAACTTATTTGGAAAAAGTCAAATATGAAATAGGTCTAACTTTTGTGGATGGAGGGAGTACCAAATAATGGATTGAGCAATTAATATTTAAGTGCCCATATTCAACCAATTTTATCATATTTTTATGGGAACATAAAACTAATACATAAAATTTCTAAAATAAGTAGATTTTCTGTAAATCGATTTTAAGTCTATAATTTGTAATCTTATGGCTTATACATCTTTAGTCTGCGAAAAGTATTTTACCTTAAAAGTTTGTGACAAAATCGATAAAATTTTACCAAAGTATAAGCAGTTTGCTATATTGTTATAACTTATCCCTTAAGACACGACAACCCATTTTGCCAATAAACACAAGACGCAAAGACGTGCCAACTCCACAGTTGATAGTCCAGATCAAAAGTTTTCAGAGCACATCATCTTCCACGTGGAAAATCCACACATGACAACGCCATCAGGAGATGGAAGAACATGATTTTTTTTTCCACTGTCCGTCAACAATAGAGTATGTGTCACACTGACTGGACTAGATACTCTCTGTTTCGGGGTGAGAGGTTGGGAACCTCTCAACGTGCATGTAAAACCAGTAGCGTAGCTAGAATTTAAAGTAAATGTGGTCCATTTATATGTAATATGTTAATTAAAATAGTGGTCAACTATACAATTTTTATTATATTAACTAGCACATATACTATAATTTTAAATTTTTAGGTGGTCCATGGACCACGATGCCACCTAGCTGGCTACGCCACTATGTAAAACAGGTTACTTATTAACATAACATATGATTAGTTAGGTGTTATCTGAAAAACTTAAAATATATATTAATATAATTTTTATACCAACTTTCATGTATATTTTTTCTAAAAAACACGTTATTTAGTAGTTCGGAAAGATATGCACGCGAAAAACAATGGAATAATGGTTGGGAAATGGGAAGACTCCCAACACTATCATCTGGCCGAGTTCGGTTACCACCTCTCCCCAACCTTTACTTCCTCATTTTCCGTTTACACATTTTTCTAAACTGCTAAACGGAGTGTTTTTTTTAAGTTTTTTTGAAAGTTATTTTAAAAATCATGTTAATATTTTATTTTATTTTATTTAACTAGTGTTTAATTTATCAATAATAAACACTTCATTTTATGAGTGGGGAGGTGGAGTTTCAACCTCCGCCCTCTAACAATAGACCAGTCGGCAGAGCAACTCACCCCATTTCCCCTTGTAATTTTCAGGTCCATTCTGTACTGTAGTCTGTTATAAAACTAGCCCCAAAATCGACATCGGTAGCTAAACGTGGAAGAAAACGCCATAGGAGATCCAAAACGATAGCGACACCGAGGCACGATATTTGGTAACGGAGTTCAGCCGTAGCCTACATCTCCGGGGCACTGATTACGGGCACTCCTCCCCGATCCAGCATATACAACGTATCAGAGTTACAACGACTCACGGCCGGTCGCCGCCGGCAGCCGCTCCCTCTCGCTATGCTAAGTCACCATGCGGTTACAACAGGCACGGCCCTCTATTTATGAGAGAACCTAGGATAGAGTCCGACTCATACTCTAGTCCTAATACCTATTACAACTCCAAGTCCTAAACTGTAATCGACTATGTACACATATTCAACACAAACTCTAACACAGTCTGCAGGCTACAGCCACACACTCTGGATTTGGTTAGTCTTTGTCCTTACTACTAGTATGACTGAAGATATTCTATATATCTATGCTTAAGGCCATAATAATATATCACTTCTTCGCCGTTAGCTAGCTAATCTACATAGACTAAGTAGTGTGGTCGTTGTCAAACATTAATTAATCTTGTAGTCAAAATGTCTACTTTATACAACGTACCCAACGGAGAACGGACCATCGAGCATCGAATGAGGGGGTGTTTGAACCGGTAGAACATCCAAAAGAGAATCTATTACGCTAGAGCCCTTTTCCGCCCTCACTAGGAAGTTGGAACACAGAAATTTCATGATAATTTTATAGGATTTTTATCATAATGAATTCTCGTATTTAGAGGAGGCCAAAGAAAGAACCATATGAATTATTATATTAATATATTTCAAATAGGCCCAAAAAAATAAAGCAAATTAAGAGCCTAAGGTTCTCTTGGGAGCTGGGAGGTCGCAGGTTTCATCTTTTCCTTAATGTCATAGTCATAGCACTGAACATGGTATTGTCTCTAAGTTGTGATTCGTCGACAAAATATGAGCAGAAACGCCGGAGAGAAGAGAGTGAGTTGCCTCCCCGTGAACAATTGAATTAAGCAAGCAAATCAAGAAAGATTATTGACCGTCCATTCAATTAATAACACATAAATCATCCAACAAAAAGTATTTCGAGGTACCGATACGTTACGGTACCAAATTGTTTTCGATCATTAAATCTAACAATGCACATCTATCCAATTAGATCTAACGAACGGGTTACATGACCGAGGATTAGACTCCATACACAATTACACACAAGTTTTCCAACTACCGGAATTCGAACCAGAGCGAGAGTGCAGCAGACTTGCAAAACTAAAGAAATCACTCCTTTTTATAATAAAAAAAATCAAGAAAAATCACTCAAGGAGTGCAACAAAAGTAAGCAGCAGTGACGTCGGAAGCACTGGCCTCCGAATATTTTACCGTCCGACTCCGACTCCGACTCAGAAAGGGCCCAACCGTTCCACATAAGCTAACGACCGGGTACCGCCACGGCCCACTCACGTCCCCCCGCTCTCTCGTCGTGTTCAAGTCGCGAGCGCGAGTTTCTCCGTAAGCTACAAGGACTTGACCTGGGAACCCGCCTAATTGCCACTCATTAATCCTTTTCTTTTCCTCGGTCAGTTTAGAGTACGGATTAGTAGACTGAATCCACTAACCCCTAGCGCTGTTGCATATTAACAAGCTCATAAATTCTTAGCCCCATACGCATAGAAGGAGTAGTGTTGCACGCTCGCACCGGTGCACGTTGGTGGATCGATCGATCTCCATGGCGGCGCTTCACCACCACCACCACCACCACAGCCACCAGATCAAGGCGCCGGCGCCGACTTGGCTCATCGTGAAGGCTACCCCGCCGCCGAGGGACGGGGCCAAGAAGCTGGCCGCGGCGGCGTACTCGCCGCTCCTGCTGTCGCCGTCCGTGTGGCAGAAGGCGCAGGACGCCAAGAAGGGCAAGGCGGACGGCGGCGACGGCGCCCTCCCGGCGTCACCGAGGATCACCTGCATGGGGCAGGTCAAGGGGAGGCCGAGGAGATGCTCGGGCGCGCGCCGCGGCGACCGTCCGGCCGCGAGGGCCGGTAGCTCGGGTCTACTGGAGCGGCTCACGCTGGGGCTGTTCGGGCGGCGGCGGAGGGGGAGGACGTCGTCGCGGGCGTGCTCCAAGGTCAGGGACGTGCCGACCTGCTCGTCGGCGCAGTCGCGGGGGAAGATTTATTGCGGCCGCGGCGGCGCGGCGGCGGTGTGCACGCTTGACCCGCCGTTGCCGGTGGTGATCAGGCGGCCCGCGGCGGACGACGAAGCGCCGACGCTCTGGGAGAGGCGGCGCGGCGGCGGCGGGAAGGCCCTGGAGACTCTCCGGTTAACGTAGATCGCTGGCTCGCTGCAGAGTTGCGCTTGGCAACCGCAGCCCGCCGGTGAGTATATTGACAGAGGAGGCCAAAGACAAGGAGGCAACGGACGACTTCAGCCGAAGGCTACGGATGCGGATGCTAATTTCCTAAAAATTTGTCCATAATACCATGTATGTTTACAGTTTAATCATTTCTTTTTGCTAATTTGTATAGTTGTATCTACTTGTATGTTGATCCTACTGTCCATTTTAAAAGTCTTGTCTCTACGATTTGGAAGCTCGCCCCTTTTTTTCTCCCCACATATCTTCTCCATCCCCTTCACTAAGGCATCTCCTCCCAAGGTCTCTAGGACGCTCCCGGTGGCTCTGCCTCCGAAACACTCACGTACTTGCTCCCGCCATATCAGTCCTACCATGGGTAGGATGTTGGGAGCGGCGGGCTGCAATCTAAGTGAATCATTAAGTGTATTATCATCTCTGTCAATTCTTTTTCTCTATAGTTTCTACAAATAGATTATTTTGCTGGTTTGCTGATTTTTCCTACTTCAGATACAGGAACAAAAAAAAAAGAAGAGATATCTTTGTTTCCAAGGAGATGACTGAATCGAACCCTTCCAATTGTTGTATGGGAACACATATTTGATATTCAGACTAATTGTTTCGTATGCTTGCTGGATTGGCATTGAATTGTTAATACCATATCATCATTCTTGACAAGTCTTTACTCATGTGCAGCACTGACAACACATATTCACAGTATCAAGTCGTCCAAATTAGCCATGATAAGGTACAGCATAGTTTGATTTGCATAGCTCCTTACTGTCAGCAAAGTTGTTCTATTGAATTTACTTTCTTTTTAGTGAACCTGAAAACGTCGATAAGGGGCACCAGCCAATTGCTGATTAAATTTTTGCCTTTGTAAACTCATATTCAGATTTTCAATGAATGATTCATATCAACCTATCTGGTTTTCTGTTATTACCACAATATTTATGACCATTAATTCACGATATATATTGGAAAACTATCTACTTCGCGCTTCAGTTTGACAAATTCAGACCTTATTATATAAGCTATAATGATGAGTAATAAAGGGCAAGAGCTGAAATTAGCATTTCTATATCATACTATAATGGAAGCACTAAGAACATATCATTCAGCTTTGATAATAATTAGAAATAAAAACATTTGTCTAAGCGAAAGATGTTTTAAGGTGCAAGAAAGAACATACGCATCCTCACAATAATTCGTCAATTTAATTCAGCAAGGGACAGTGCTTCTCACTTATTGAGTTGAAAAAAAATATATATCTAGAAGTGCTAAACTCATGCTGGCCTCATGTCAAAATGGTGTTAGTTCAATTTCAATTGTTAGCTGAGTCACACAGGAGGAAGCAGGCTGCTCAACTCAAGATGGAGGAAACCATTCTTTTGTGCGTGTGACAAATATGTAGATTCTATAATTAGCCTCTTATTTGATCCTACCATGGGTGGAGGAGATTCCTATATAAAAAACTTCAGTACAGTCACAGTTGTTGGAAACAGAGGCACAGCTCTTCCGCAAAAATATGCTGATTGTGGAATTCACGAATTTTTGTTTGTCTGAATAGTGCAAAAGAACATAAACGAGATAAAGGAACCACTTAATTTCAAAGCCATTGTTAAGTCTGAACAATATTATTAGTATAACTTTCAATAGAAGGTCGATTATATGTTCCAAATAGGACATGGAACTTTGTCAAAGAGCTTTGAATTGATGACGGGTTGGCTGAATACTTTAGCACTACATATACATGCAATCTCTAATGTTGTACTGATTAATCTTTCTACAAATTCTTGAAAATTCAAAAAGAAAAGTGTCAATTGCTACTTGGTGTTTTTTTAGCAAGCACTCTTTTCTGAAAGATCTACAACACAAAAAGGGGCTCTCATTCATGAAGAAAGAGCGGGACGCACTACCCTTGGGTTTTACTGCCTCTCGTAGTCCTGCCTCAGGAACTTCAGGTATTCTCCTTTCTCCACCTCCTTAGCGCATATTTGATCTGATAATATTGCTGCCTTGCTGGTATATATCACTGAAGTATGTCTCCTCCTACAGGAGAAGAGGCTGCTGCAAAACGTACGGCAGTTCCAGGTCCCTCTGCAGCGTTACATGGTCCTTATGGAGGTTCAGGTGAGCTACATACTTATTGCAGCTAACTAAGCAAATATGTCATGTTCTTCTTGTGGATGATCAGTTTGAAGAAGAGAAATGAGTGGATTCACTGACAGCAAGACAACTACAACACTGCCGCCAATTATCTTAAACCAACGATCAGGTTTAATAAGAGTTTCTTTGATTTTGAGTGTAATAGTTGACTGATTTCATCTTGCCTTTTTCACTTGCAAGCTCAACTAATGCTCTTTGTTAAAACCATGTTTGATATGTAATGGTCCACGTATACATGCTTCTTAAACAGACATCTTCAGTCGCGCAAAGTGCGACCGAAGATGAGATGCCCTGCTCTCCAGAATCAAGATTATCCTGAAATCAACTGAATCAGACTAATGAGCATGTGGCCTTTACCGTTTGGACAGCAAAGGCGCCAATGGCCTCGGTGGCGAGTGCCTGCCCGAGTATAATTAACTGTACACCATTTTGATCTGTTGAGTTAAGTACCTTCTCTAAAGCATCTAATTATAGTAATATTTGTTATTAAGATATAAAAGAAATACCAAAACTAATTAGTACAAATAATATGCAAATACATTTAGAACACAGTCAGACATGGATACATTTAGAACTACTCCTTTCGAACTGATAATATTAGTCGTTTTGAATAAGGATAAAGTCAAATTTTAAAATCTTTAACTATAAATAATTTCTAAAATATTTATGTTAAAAATATGGAAACCATATGTGTAGATTAGTTTTAAAAAGTACTTCAATAAAATCATATATTTGTTGATATTCCTATATATACTAAATAGAAAATAATTATCAAAGCTATTTTTTTTGGATACCGTGCTCTTGTAAAAAAGGACAAGTATAATCAAGCCGGAGGGAGTAGTTCTGTTTGTACTTCACTTAACGTGAAGGTGCGCTAGGCCGCCAGTTGGGCCTGTGCTAGCTTTCACAAAAGAATTAGGCCCAAAATCTAAACAACGCCCACCAACGGGAACAAGACGGCCGACGAAGGGAACCGATTGAAAACTATGGCTGGCTGGCTGGCTGCCTGCCTCCTTCGCCGCATAGGACTCGCAGTCCCGGTGGATCCCCACCGAATTAACTCCCACGAGCAGCCGGTCCCCGCGTCATTTACAAGTTCACCCCGGTAGCCGCCCGAATGGGGAAGAGACAAGCAATGCCGGCCCCGCTACACTCGGGTCGTCGAATCAGCGAGAAAAATCGACACTTGCACTGTGTAGAAGCACACAGTTTTGTGTTTTCTGGATAGTAGGAGTATTTTTCGATCTGAACCAAACAAGCACATAACCAAAACCTCAAAACATGTGTAGCCAAGTTGGCTAGCTTTCACCGAGTACAGTATATACCCTACTACGGATATTGGCCGTCTGAATTGTTCTTCAGCTCATTCCAAGACGTCAAATGCTGGACAAATTCATCGATGCACCTCTCTTCGCGCTCCCTGTCCGCCACGATCTCCTGCAGCTTCCGGGCATTGGCGAAGAACGTCTTCCCCTCTTCCTCCACCACGACGGCGCGGACGGCTCCGGCGACGCCGCCTCGGTCGAACGACCCGTCCTCGTCGTTCCTCGGCACCGCCACTCCGAGCTTCCTCCCCTCGAGAATCCGCGCGTTCGGGCCTTGGTCGCCTAAGATCGGCAGCATGATCAGCGGGTGCCCGAACTGGAGCCCCTCGACGACGGAGCCCCACCCGCAGTGCGTCAGGAACGCGCACACGGCGGCGTGCGCCAGTATGCTCACCTGAGGAGCCCACCGCGTCGTGACCAGCCCGCGCTCGCCGGTGCGGCCCAGGAACCCCGCTGGTAGGACGCTGTCCGCGTCGACGCCGGCGGGCTTCCTCATGGCCCAGAGGAAGCGCGTCCCGGCGAGGTCCAGCCCGTGAGCCAGCTCGCGCAGCAGGTCCGCGCTCATCGGCGCCTCGCTTCCCAGCGCGACGTAGACGACCGACTTGGCCGGCTGAGCGTCGAGCCACTGCATGATTGCGTCGTGCTTGCCGTTCTTGCTGACGCCGCGGGCGCCGTCCGGCCGTGGCGGGAGCAGGCCGAACGGGACGACCGGCTTGCCGTAGAACCTCGTCAGGATCGTGAACGCGCCGGGCTCCAGCTCGGGGCAGCTCCGCATTGCGACGAGCTTGGACCTCTGCAGCGTCAGGCTGTAGCGGGTCATGATGGACACCCCCGAGGCGCCTTCCGTCGCGAACTCCTCCGTGGCGCGCTTCGCCTCGAAGCTCGGCGCCGCCGTGCCCATGGACCGGACTATCGCCTCGCGCTGGTCCGCGCTCGACTCGGTTGGCGGAGCAGACGAGGCCACGACGGCTGCGGAGCAGGGGAGGATCATGGCGCACGGCACCCCGCGCTCCTGAGATGCCAGAGCGACCCAGTGATGCATGAGATCGGCGAGAACCCAATCCGGCCTCTTGCCGCCGGCGCACGCGGTGTCGAGGAACGCGGAGAACGGCGCGGCGAGCCCGTCGAACGCCTTCCTGTGAAGCTCGAACTTGTCGAACGGGACGTCGCTGGTGGCCTCGGCGCCGTCGGGGAGCCCGTCGACGCGCGGCAGTGGGAGCGCCACGAGGTCGACGAGCTCTGCCAGCTCGGGGCGAACCGGCGGGAGGCGGGCGAGGTTGCGCGGGGTGGAGACGAAGGACACGCGGTGGCCGCGCGCGGCGAGGCGCTCGGCGAGGTCAAGGCAGGGGAGCAGGTGGCCGAAGGCGAGCCACGGGAAGATGACGACGTGCAGCGGCGACTGCGAGGAATGGGCGTCGTCCATTTTCGGCCGGCGCGCACCGGTCAGCACTCAGGCGTCAGCGTGTGTGTGAGAAGTTTGGCTCTGATGATCCAGTCATGAGTGTATAGGGAGTACTCCGTATGCAAATCGTGCTAGTTAAAGGGGAGAAAACGAGGAAAGATTCCCGAACGCGATGCGTATTGTCGAGCCCAGCCGAGTGCGAGGCAGCCGGGACTACTCATCTCCTCCCTCCATCTACTACCTCCCTCAAAAAAAAAAAAAACTTTTATCCAGATTCATTATTTTAGGAGGAAACCCCTCCTTAGAGCAGGTATAATAGAGTATGATAAGCCAGCGATACAAGCATCCATATTATAGAAATCATAGGTGGAAGAGAGAGAAAACCGGAGAGAGAAGGCAGCGGGCGCCAATGCAATCGTCGAGCTCCAGCACAGGAAACGATGCAAAGTCCTGAGAACCAGCCCTCAGTCCTAGTCCTAGCTTTTGCCCAATGACTCAACCATTACTCCATCATAGCAAGTTCAATAGTAGAGTTAACTGCCGGCTCTAAAATTCACCACATCATTTAAGAGATAACTAAACCCCAGTAGATACATCAATTGGCTACACCCATGCTTTAACCAAGGCATCCTGTCAGGTGTTGGTAACTTCTGCATGTTCAAGTTCTAATTTTCTATTGGTTGTCCCGAGCTGCAAGGGGCCAGAGTGCCTAGGCGCTTGTGCTTGAGCCAGCGACTGGATTGTCGTCCGCTTTGCTCTCTTTGCTTTCTCTCTCTCTATCATATATGTTAAAATATTAGATAAGCAGGCTATTAGCCCACTATTGTACCTGCTCTCAAAGATTGGGAAGAAGGAAACAAGTCTGATTAAAATAATAAAAATCAACTGCTTAGGGATGTGTGGGTAGGTAACTTAGCAGCTAGTTATTATACGTATCATCTATTGGTACCATCTATTACTTACGTGTACAAATTTTCAGCCCATCAACGGGCGATACTATTAAACTTGCTCTTAGAGCAGGTACAATAGCAGGCTATTAGCCAGCTGTAAATATATTTTAATAAGATAAAAGATGAGAGAAGAGCAGCGGGCTACAGATCTGTAGCCAGCTGTAGCGCGGACTCCAAGACGCAATGTGTATATGACAGGTGGGACCATATATTAATAGTATAGTAAGTAACTATTGTATGAATTAACTACTAGATTAACTATAAATGAATTAGAGCTAGTGCTGGACTATACTATTAAACTTGCTCTAAATTGAGTTATTTTGGTATCAAAGGAGATTTTGACTTTCTGAGCCGTGCAGGTCGATTACTTGCTTGTGTGGGCCGGCCATCGGATGAGCGCCTCATCCACGCGTCATGAATCCGCGTCGGGAGTCGGGACTGCACGGGCTGCTGTTTGGAATTTTTTTTATTTATAATTTTTTTTATTAAAAGTTTTACAAAAATAATTTTCCATTTTGAAAATTGACGGAAGTAGTCGCCTACCGCCGCCCTCCCAGAGGGCGGCGAAAATGACGCGGCAGCCGGCCGTTCGCTCTCGGGCGACGGCCGTCAACGAAATTTGCAGGCGGCCCCCTTGCCGCCCTCCGCTAGGGCGATTTTATACTGTGCGGGGGGCCGCCTGCAAATGGGCGGCGAGGGGGGGCATGGAATTTTGCAGGCGGCCCCCTTGCCGCCCTCCGCTAGGGCGATTTTGTACTGTGGGGGGGGGCCGCCTGCAAATGGGCGGCGAGGGGGCATGGAATTTTGCAGGCGGCCCCCTTGCCGCCCTGGGGGAGGGCGATTTTATACTGTGCTCTATATTTTTGTATAAATATCAATAGTTATCAAATCTTTTTATATTGAAAACTATACAAGATTAAAATCTCCAAGACTGGTAAAATACAATTTTATTATTTTTTAGGTCATATTTGGATTGTTACCGTACAAATATTTTGTTAGTGCCAAAATATAAGCAAGTTTTGGCACTACCAAATATTTGGTAAGGTAAAATTGCATTTGATCATATTTGGTTTGCTGCCAAAATGTAAAATTGTAGTGAAGAATGTTCTACATAATCTCAAATCTAGATTACGTATTACCAATGAATAGGCTTCCATTTTCGTGTGTGGTGTGCTAGTGGGAAAGAAGATATGAAGAGGTTGCCTTCAGATTGTCAATTATATAGCGTCGTTTTCACTGCAATATATGTGAACTCAATGAGATACATTATTCATTAGATGTGACAAGACGATCACGCGTGGGCGTGATTCACTTTATGTCAACAGGCAGCGCCGAAAGTTGATAGTGATAACTCGAGCTGCCGCTTTTCATGTGTGTTGTTGTGGACTGTGCGCGCTACTGGATCTGACACTACCGTGAAGCGCCGAAAGTGTGTTGTCGTGAGCATAAGTTGTTCTAGCACCATATGAATGAAAAGAACTATGTAGACGAGACAAACACAAGTAGTACTGCAGTAGTAATAGCAAAAGTAGTACTGCTTTACAAGTTTGTAAGCCAAAAGAAACGGTCACATAAGGACTGAAGAGGTAGAACACTACTGACGAGGCCTCTTACCCCTGTCCCTCCTACCCTGCGCCCTAATGTGCCCCTGGGAGTACGTGAGTCGGTCCGGGGGTACGGCACGGCTAACCCGTCCTGCCTGTACAGGTGTGACCTCTGGCTGCTCTGAGTGTGCGCCTCTGGAGCTCCTCCAAGCTGAGAGGAGCCTACTTCCGTCAATTTTCAAAATGGAAAATTATTTTTGTAAAACTTTTAATAAAAAAAATTATAAATAAAAAAAATTCCTGCTGTTTGCACCCCGTCTGCACCAGATTTTTTTTCCGCAGATTGGCAGCTGCGGTAGTGACATGTGGGCCCTGGGCCGCACGTTGGTTACGGCCGAGGAGTTGCTTCTTCGGGACCGAAACCTATGTGCAATGGGATTTTTTTTTTCATTTTTAGATTTTTTTAAAATATTTACAGAAATAATCTATCGGCCAAAAAAATTGTAAAACTAGACCCTGCCGCCCATCTCTGAGGCGGCAAGCTGACGTGGCAAACGGGGAAGGAACGGGCGGTGACGGAGGGAGGGTTTTTTTGCAGGAAAGCCCTTGCCACCCTCTGTTGAGGTGGCAAGGGGCCTGAATGCAAAAAAACCAGTCGGGGCCGGTCATTTTGCAGGCGGCCCCTTGCCGCCCTTTGGCCGGGCGGCAGGCCTCGCTGCCTATAAAAGGCATGCTGGCCAGCCCTCAGCCCTCATTCCTCCCCCCTCAAATCCAGTGAAAAAAAAAGAAGAAAGGGGAGGAGAAGAGAAGAAGGGGCGAAGCCCTGCCGGATTCAGACGCCGATTTCAGGTAATATTCATATATCCTATATGTGACTATAGAGTTAAATATTGTGTATTTTTTAAAACTTTGTTTGAATAAATGCATTATATTTTTAGGGTTTTATCTGTACTAATCTAGAAGTGCGTATTGTAGATATCGGTAACTACGTAGATCTGCTAGTTTGGAATCAATACTTTACCGTTGCATTGGCATACACAAGAAGATATTACGTTGTAGATGTTTATTGCATGAAAGAGTAATATGATCTAGTTATTTCGTTGACAGATATGTCGAACAAACAAATATTCCAAGTTTACCATGGCCCAGGAAACGTCCGTTACGGGCCAACTGGGGTAGATCTGTCAGATTTTATTGTATCAGAAAGGGGAATTGATAGACCGGCTGAGAGGAGTGTACCTTCTATAAAAGGATGGTTAATGAGGGGCTTGAGAGTTGATCCATAGACAAGTGACATAACAATCAATGTTATAGTAAGTCGGGCAACTGAGGGTTTTTATTGGGAACTAATGCCGGTTCAAAACTCTCAATTGTGGAGATGGTATGTGGAAAATGCATTGCAACGCGGGTGGCCTCTAGCTATGGTTCCGTTTGTTCACCCGAAGGATCCAGGTGTGCAGATGAACATGGATGATGGCGAGGGACCAAGTGCTGAAGTAAATGAGACTTCTGTGGAGGAGGTCAACGCACGAGAGGACGGGGGCGTAGTAGCTCCAGTGGGCATTCAACCAGGTGGAGTGGCCGACGAGGGGGAAACTGTCGGTGCCATTGTGGATGAAATGGAGAGGGAGGATTCTGACAACGAGCGTGTAGAGGAAGGTGATTCGTCAGATGATGAGACGGATATTAATCCAGCAGAATGGGCTAGTGAGGATTTTTCTGGGCTGGTCGTCTCTGAAGAGGATAGTGTGAGATGGGAGTACAAAGAAAATGAGGTTATCCAGGGAGCGATTTATAGTAGAGCAGAAGATATGAAGGAGGCGGTAAAACATTTTGTAGTGTCACTTCATAGAGAGTTTTGGGTTGCCAAGTCCAACCGGTCGCAATATGAAGTTCGGTGTGTTAAGGAAAAAGATGGTTGTCCCTGGAGAGTGCACGCGTATAAGGGGAAATGGAAGGATTATTGGATACTGTCAGTCGTTACCAAGCATACATGTTTTCTACCTGGTGTTCAGAAATACCACAGGAACATTACATGTGCATTTGTTGCATCTGAGATGTATGCGCATGTCATCGATAATCTCACATATGAACCAAGGTCAATAATCCGACACATCGAAGAGACATACAAGTATACTATTAGCTATGCCAAGGCCTGGAGGGCCAAACAGAAAATAATAGAGATGAGATTTGGAACTTACGAAGCCTCGTATGACAATTTGCCACGCCTGCTTGGTGTTATCGAGGAAAGAAACCCTAGGAGCTCTTACGCAGTGAAGAAATTCCCCTCAATTGAACATCCTGGCAAGAGTGTGCTGCAAAGGGCGTTCTTAGCTCTACATGCATGCAAGATGGCATTCGTGAACTGTCGTCCTGTTCTCTGCATTGATGGGACATTCTTGACAGGAAAGTATCGGGGCCAGATACTAACAGCAATAGGGGTAGATGGGAACAATCAGGTATTGCCCTTGGCATTTGCTTTTGTTGAGAGTGAGAATACCGACAGCTGGTACTGGTTCCTGAAATTGGTTAAAACAAAAGTTGTTGGTATGAGGCCAAATGTGTGCCTGATACATGATAGGCACGCTGGCATTCTGCGAGCGATAGAAGAGTTGCAGTTTGGGAGTATGGAACGAGGATACCCTGGTGTTTGGGAAGATGTACAGAGTAGGTGGTGAATGCATCATATGGGAGCTAATTTCTTTCTTCAAGCAATTCAAGAACAAGGAGCTCATGAACATGTTCAAGAGGCTATGTAATCAGAACTAGGAGAAAAAAATCAATGAGCTTTGGAAGAGATTAGATGAGTTGACAGCCAAATGCAGTGATCAGCGTGCAGCGGCTCCATCGACCGCCGTTGCTAACCCTCCTCAAGCTCTTGGACCTCTCCCAACGAATAGTCCAACATTGGTTAGAAGAACTGGATTGGAGATTCGGAAATTTTCTCAGTAGATTATGCATGAACCAAAAGAGAAATGGGCCAAGGCGTATGACACAGGTGGTGCTAGATATGGAATAATGACAACAAATTTGGCAGAAGTTTACAACTGGGTGATGCGCGGTGTCCGTGGACTGCCACTAGTTGGCATAGTGGAGTTCATTTTACATGGGACATGCAGTTATTTTAGGGATCGGTTCCAAGCAGTTCTTCCCTCTATACCGAACAACAGCATTTTGTTTGGAACTTTCATGCAGAAAAAGCTAGAGGAGTTGCGTAAAAAGGCCATGAAACATCGAGCTCTAGTGCAAGGT